CCATATTTTCCTCTTCTTTTGTGTAATATTTGAATTGTTGATCCATAAGAAGATATGTTTGTGGTTCATCTCAGTGTAGTTTTACATCTCCTCTCTCAGGCTTCTCTCCGGAGCTCTTGTAACAACAGGTGAACCAATCAGAAGACAGGAGGCTCTGAGCATCTCTTCTGATTGGCTGACTGTTTTCTGAGTGATCCAATAAAAATATAGCAGATTTCAGGTAAACACTCAGAGAAACCAAATCCTGTAAGGTTCGGATGGTGGGTCCAGGTGGGTGGGGTTTGTGAGTCCTTTTTTGTGACATCACAAAGTTCCAGAAGTCCTGACGGCTGGTTTTAAGGCTCAGTTTCTGAATACAGGCTGTGTGCATTTCTCTGTGGACTGAGGCTTTGATACTTTTACAGTATTAATATAGAACCTAGACCTGCTTTATAATCAAACAACACATGGACAGAGACCTTTAGACTATAAGGAGCTTCGAGCAGTTAACAATAATGTATTATTCACTTATTCAATTGTCAACAAATCCCATTAATTAAAAGACCAAAACTATGTGCTGGTCTCAACATGCCTTCCCTCAGCCCCGGTGTTTCCTACATTTTAAAAAACAAATCACAAATGTATAAAATCCCAAATATCAGTCTATAAACGTCTTGTTCCAACCAATAAACAAAAGCCTAAAGATTTATTTTTTCTAAAAGGACAAAGAACAGCACCAAACTCCCCATTGTATAAAACCTGTATTGAGAGAATGTGTGAAAAAAATGTTTCAAATGATTAATCGACTAATGAATCTAAATCAATTAATTGGTATTTTGGGGGTTTTCGTGGGTTTTAACGATAATCAAATATACTGTATATAACCAGCCTTATTGTTTGTGAAACTGTTCATGTCTCATGTCGTGTTGATTTTCATGATGTACAGAAAAAAAAATGCAATGGTCATCAGTAAAAGTATGAAATGCTCCTTTAAAAGTCATGTCTTCTGTATTATTTTTACCCTTCATTTTAATTACAGGAAGTGTAAAGGTCAAATCCAGGTCACCACTCTGTGTCACACTGAACTGACAGGCTGAAGACACCAAGAACTCCTTTATAAATTGAAGAAGACAGAGTTGGTTTTAAAAACCATCAGATATTGTGAATCCAGTGAACCTTCAGGAAAATCCTCGATAGACATCGTCTTTTGAATAACAGTTTCATGGAAAATAAAAACACTGTCCATTAACACACAGTAAATTTTGGGTTACTAGCGTGTTGTGTTATTTTTCTGTGATGCTCGCCAAGGCTTTTTCCTTCCCCTGTAACTACTGGATCAAATTCATATCACACATTAACATAAAGCACGTGGCCAAATATGTTTCTTTTTCTTGTTTCCATCAGTGAGGATTTATAGGCTGAACTATGTTTTGTCCTTATATTGCACTGAGATGCAGTTTCAGCCAAGACATCCATATGTTTGTTTGACCTGATTGATTTCCTGGAGTGAGGGCTCTAAACACACACACACACACACACACACACACACACACACACACACACACACACACACACAGCTCATACTCTTGTGTACTGGACATGTAGACCTGTAGAGATGTAAGTGTGATCACGTCCTCAAATTACTCACACTGATAATTACCATGTCTGTATGTTGCCTTTTTTTTATTACACTCTGCAGGGTCTGTTTTTCAGATTTCATGTTTTGCTTACAAAGTGTGATGCCTGCTTTTCTCGCAGCCTCTCCCTTGTTAAAGCTCTGTGTTAGAACAGATTATAAACTGATATTTTTAAGTGGAAAAATCTTCCCACCTTTATGATCAGCTCGAGTCCCCGCTGCTGCTGGAGCCATGAGAACACTGAGCACATTTTGCTCCAGCAGAGTGAGGAAAAGCTGCTCATGAAAACAGATTTTTTTATGATTACGCTTCCGGGACGTTTGCCAGCTACTATCACTCTCAGCTTTGGCACAGATGCTTATTTAAAGTCAAGTTTTTTTAGTGCCACATTTGGTTAAAGCGGTTGAATGTAACGGTCCTTATAAAATGGGATAATCAAATATAATGTGCACAGACAGCAGGTTGTAGCCCGCACACACACACACACACACACACACACACACACACACACACACACACACACACACACACACACACACATACATTATACAGTGTACACACACACTTGTGGCTGTGATGCATGACAGAGTTACTTCTCACTGTATGATAATGAGTGAAAAGTGCAGAGGTCGGGTCCGATCACCATCAACAATCTTCTCTGCATTTTTTTTATTTTTAGATCCATAGTTATTTCCTATGTTTCCCAGAATTCTCTTCAACAAAGCATGGATGGATTATTAAGCAACAGATATGTGAAGATAGAGAAGAACATGTGGCCCCTCCCTGTAACTATCGAGGTGTATTCCAGTGATATTTTGCAGGGTGCAGCCAAAACTGTGAATAAACCTGAATAAACCTGAACACAGTGACTCAGTATGTTGTCATGTATTTTCTTCAGTATTATGCTGCAGATGAAGAGAGGCCATCTAACTATAATAATATCCAGTATCACAATATTTCCCGACATATGTGTTATTTTTCATAGTTGTATCGTATCAAAAAAAAGAAATTACACTAACCATTTCACTGCTGAGTTTACTGTACCATTTACCCCAGCATGTGACAAATAAACTGCTTATACCTGAAACATAAAAATACAATGATATAATTTATATTATCATTATTTTAACAATACAATAAAAACAAATAACTAATTTCAATGTAGCCTACTGCAGTTTTAGCCTAAGTCTGATATTTTATCATGTTTAACAGATCAAACGTGGAGTTGACAGAGGACTCAGTTTGATCCTTGACCCTCTCGGGACAGAAAATGTGAGTGAATTTGTGGCTTTAAATGGAAACGCTGGTTCACTGCTTTCAAATGTTGCACAAATATCTGAAAAAGAAAACAGATGATTTGTTGACTCGAAAAAGGAAAATGTGTCTCAGTGTTTGTTTCCATCATAAAGATATATGTTCATGCTGGTTGTTTTTTAGTGAGGCCATTAGAGAGTGTGTGATTAGTACGCTCATGTTACACACAAGTAGGTACACAAGCAAAGGAGAAAGAAAAAGAAATGGAAGCAGATTTCTGTCCGTTTCCATCCTGATACAAACAACTAAACAAAGTCAATGTGCATGAAGCAGGTGAGAGGTGATGAGCATGAGAGGAAGTTCAGCTAAAGTGTGTTGACATGGATTTATAATGTACAGGCATCACTGCACCACAAACAGTCTGTACCGTCCCTGCCCTCAGGTGAGAGCTATAGGAGTGTGCCAGCGGCTAGCATACTGGACCTCCATCGTCATGGTAACTGCAATACACCCGTAGGCATGGTCACAGTTTAGTTAGGTTGAGGTACAAACACGACTTGGTTACATTTAGGAAAAGGTTAAGGTATAGGTACGTTTGTCACCATGGTTACAATATTAAAAATGGTTTAAGTTGCAGAAGGGTCATGGTGTCACATGGGAAACAAACAGCAGTGTCCATCCATCCAGTCCAACCTCCTCCTAATGTGGGCTTTGTTGCGCTTTATACTAGGTCACCTGACTGCCTCCTTCACTTAAATGGTCATGACAACAGCTGTGAGAGGTCATACAGATCAACAGTCCCGTACGTGCACATGAGTCGATGAAGAACACAAATTATGTTGGGAGAAAAAGAGCGTTGGATGTGTTTCTATTTGTTACAGAGTTGAGGATGACAGGAAGTGCAGCAGCAGCTCAGTGAGGATCAGTGTCTGGACTCTGGACTCAACAGCAGCTCCTCACATTCACAGCAGCAGTTTCAATCATTCACAATAAATATACTTTAACAAGTCAATTCAACTCAAATCTGCCATTAACATGAAATAATTCAACACATTTTCACAGCAGGGGACGAGTCTGCTCATCTCAAGAGACATAATCATAGTGTAGCATCTGAACAGCTGATATTTCTCATTTGTTTCAGGGAGAAAAAAGATTTTAGTTTTTTTTTCCATGAACGGGCTGAGATTAATTTGACGTGTTTTTTCATTTACCTTAAAGTTAAAAATCAGCAGCTTCGTCACAGACACACAGGATGTGCTCGGTGTTATGGGAATTATTTCTTCATAGTGTGTAAATCACATGTCCGCCTCCATGTTCAGATCAGATCAAGAGGTTTTTACAGATACTTCACTGGTTCCCACAGTGCTTTAATTTGACCGTTAAACAATTCAAACATCTGTAACGTCCTGCAGTGGTAACCTCTGTCTTTTGTTAACAGTGTCTTCAAGTGAAACCTGTCTCCTCATCTGTCCAAACTGAATCACACGAGTCAAAGTGAGGAAGAGGATTTTTTTCTGTCATCAAACTGAAGAAGACGACGGCAGCTTCTGCGTTTAGTTTTTTTTAGTTTGCTCTGCAGACTGTCACTACATCACTGCCTGTACAACACATGTGTACACACACACACACACGCACACACACACACACACAGAAGTGGAGGTCACAGTCTCAGTCTGAGTGCAGCAGTGATTGAGGATGTGATGGAGTGTAAGGCACATGGCAGTCGGAGGATATTGTAACCTGTGTTTAATCTCAGTTGTTCAAAAAAGAATTTTTTACAATCCTTCTAACAGTGACTCTTGTACAACAACATAAATACTGTGCTGGAAAAAATGAATTTCCAAAAATTAAGCAGTTTTTTTCCCCCGCAGTCTCTTTCTGTAAACATTGAAAAATGCAAATCAAGTCTCAGTTCTCCACAAGACAACAACATCAAAATAACAACAACTGTTCCATTTGTAAGGCTTGGCCGCCTCACTATGCAAATAGTCTCTAATGGGCTCAGAGGAAAATGAAATCTTTTTTTTTTTTTTTTTTGTTTCCGTTACCTTCTCTTTTCTAATCCATTTAATGTTGGAGAGTCAACAGTGCTCAGTTTAGATCCAGGAGGGAGGGGCAGAGGCGGCGCCATCAGAAGAGGCTAGTCAGCGTGGTCTGTGACGGGCTCCGGCACTCGTGGCCGTCCATGCCGCCCGGCACTGAGGTGAGCACGGAGGTGACGGTGGGCATGGTGGGATTGGTCAAGTCTGTCAGGGTGGTGGGGGTGCTGGAGGGGCTCATGGAGGCGTTGGAGATCTCTGACGCCGGGCCCGACGGCGTCCCACCCTGCAGCGCGGAGCCATCGGATGCCTTGTCCACGCCGGTGCTTTCCTGCCGCAGCAGGTTCCTCCTGAACTTGGCCCGAGCGTTTTGGAACCAGACCTGCAGGAAAATACGATGAAATCACTTTAATGTTGCTGCAGGAGACGTGACGCACCATTCACTGACACAGACTCCACACTCACTGATATCTGAGGCCTTTCTGCTGTAACTCCACAAACTAAAGAGTCAAAACCTCTAGTTCTGCATTATTTTGTCAGGTTTTACAGATTAGTCATTTTTACTTCCTGTTACTTTTACTTCCTGGATCATTCACAGAACTGACTCCAGTGAAAACTGCACTGGTGTCTGGGTGATTCTGAAGCAGCCAGGACACTGTTTCTGGACAGACATGGTATCAGACTTCTGTTGTGTTGGGACAGATGGAGGCAGAAATCTCTCATGCACATTTCTCAAAACAAAAACAAAAGCAAAACCAACTAGAGGCCGGTGAAGACACCTGAGCTTTTCCAGTAAGAATCAATCACACAGCATTTTCTAAAGCAGCCATCGACTTCAGTCCATTACCATCATGATTAAAAAAGTTTCTCACAGAAATTTAATTTGTGTCGATGAACACAGGACATCACGTCTGCAGCAGGTAACAGAGAACACACAAATAACAGCAGACATGATGCTCACTCTGATGGATCACCTGCTGTATGTGAGGCAGGTTTCCAGTCTCTGTTAATTCATTCTGATGCTTCTGTAAATGAAATGGAGACCTGTGGCTGCCTGAGAGGGGGGACAACACGTTCAGACAGTCCTCACAAAAAAATGTCTTTGTGTTTCCCTGACGAGGAGCTTTAGCACGTTTGCTTCTTCTGTCAGACAGATGCAGCGTTACAGAGCCTCAAACCCGTGGAGGAGGAGGACTGAGTGGAGGGATGGGTCGACCACGAGAGTCTACAGTCTACAGACCACGCTGACCCCTAATCTTGAAGTGGCACTTATCAATATTTTTATGTGTGATATGAAAGTAGCGATTCACAGAGAGTTTTGACCCAAATCTGCAGTGTTATGAAACATTTCTGTGTTTCTTGGCACATTGTTTTGGTCTCCTCGTCTGTTCTGGTTCAGGATTTGTTTTTCTTCTCTCCTTGCTCAGAACCAAACCCCAGACAGACTCAGTGAGCTGCTAGCTGGTCAACATGTCATTGTTTATGGCCATGAGCAGCTGAGCCACGCCGACACAGTGAAGCTGTTTCTACCTGAACCACTAATTAACTTCCATTAACTCAGTGACATAATTTCCTGTAACTTTTCCAAAATAAAAGTGTCACAGTGTTTTTGTGAGCAGACACCTTTTAATGTGAAGCAGGGAGAGCAGGAAGTGTGACCTCACACTGTAAACAGTAAAATAAGGCTGAAAGAAACAGAATCACATCAGCTCCACTTCAGACATGGAGACCTCGTCTCCAAGACAGACACATGAGGACACAGCTGAAGGACGAGACAAACTGCATCAGTCTGCAGAATGACGATGCTCAGATGGGATATTTTTGAAAGGATGAGGCACTATGTATTTTGTCATCAAAAATTTTGCAGCAAAATGGTGAAAATATGCCCCCCCCCCCCCTCTATTAGTTGTGAGTGAAGAGTCTCCTCATGTTTGTTTAAAGTGTGTTTGCAGATCAAAACTAAAGGTAAAGCCAGGGGTGTGAGTTATGAAGGTTAGGCAATAAAACAGGCCGGGCTCTAGTCATCACCAAATGCTCTGACTGCCCCACCACATCGTCTTGCTTCATCCTAAAACTGAATAAAATAGGGGGGGGGGGGGGGGGGGGGGGGGGGGGGGGGGGGGGGGGGGGGGGGCACTTTAATTCGATTCCATGGCTTTATGTTCAGATAACATAAAACAGTACACGTTATAGTCAACATCTGTAAAAGCCTTTACTCTTTATGGCTACTCACAGAGAAATAAGCTTTTCTTTTATCATTGCACATGAACACAGAGCATTGATGAATAACACTGCACCTGTAAACACTGTGTACTGAGAAAAGACGCTGTGATTCAGTCGTTATTCTCACATCATCAACAGCAGATTAACGTCTGGAGCAGCGTCCTGCTCCTCACTGTCCCTGATCTTAATCCACTTCCATTCTTTGAAATTAATTTTCCCTCACTTCTTCTATAGTAAACTGTGGTGTATGAGCTGCAGTGTGTGATGAGTGGTGCTGGAGCATGTTAGCGATGGAGTGGTGATGGAGCCATGGGAAACAGGCGGAGGGAGACGCGCTTCAGCTGGAATAACAGGCACCGAAACTCCAGCGCATCAAAGCAAAACGACTGCTTTGTTTTCTCTGAGCGTTAATTAAAGCAGCAGGATGATTTTTCTTTTTTTTTTCCCCTCAGAAAAAATTTTGATTCAGAACCTTTTTGTCTCATTTTTCTTCTCCTCAGTCCCCCTGATGATTCGCTGTCGTCGTTTGTGGAAATCAAACATGGTGTTGTTGCGTTCTCTTTCTTGGTGTGAAACACAGAGCATTTTGTTTTTCATCCCCTAGTCCTCAGCATCACATTACTAATCTCAAATACATTTAGTTTTTTTTTTATGGATTTGCTTTTTTTCAGTTAGATTTTCCTTGAGGAAGCTCTTCCTTTTTCACAGCATTATTGTTTTTTTTAATTGCTTTTTTTTTAATTGAAATTAGAAAAAGTAAAAGAACAGAAAAGAAAAGAAAGCAAGAAAATCCCTCCTCTGTTTTTATTCATCTTGTTTGCAGCTTCCTGATGATTTTCCAAGAATCTCACTGGAATGAGAAACAGTGATGTCTTAAACCAAAGCAGCTGATTTGGCTTCTCTCAGGAAAAACTCACTTCATATGTTTGGATGTTTGGAAACGAGCTGATTTGCATTGGAAACAAGAGGAATTCTTTCACCCCCGTTGGCATGTGCCTCTGTTTCTGCTTCCCGAGTTAAAGAGAGCCGGGTCTGGTGTGCAGTGAGAGGCTGCTGCGGTTACCTGTAAAACCCGCTTGGTGAGGCCGGTCTTCTGGGCGAGCTGCTTGAGGTCCTTGGCGTCTGGGTTGTGGTTGATGGCGAAGTAGGACTTCATCGTCCTCAGCTGGTGGTGCTTGAAGGATGTCCGCATGCGCTTGGTCTTCTGACTGGAGCTGTACTGAGAGTCCCGGTCCATGGACTCGCCGTCATTCTCATTGCAGCTCAGCGCTGCGGGGCAGCGGGGAGAAGAAGAGGAGGACGGGTTAGACAGAGGGAACTCTGATCCAATCAATTATCATACATTTGATCTGTTTAGTATTTTTACTGCTGTTTGGGTGATTGCATCATTTTTCAGACCCTGTTTTTAGGTCCTAAAATTCTCATGACCCCAAAAATTAAAGAGTAGTTTTCAATTTTCAAAAGCATCTGACAGAAATAAGCCACTGCTAAAAATCAACAAATATCCCAAGAAAATGAAGAAAACTTTGCACTTAAAACAACCACACGAGTCCTGGACTCTGGTGCTGCTTAACAATAATGTGAGCAGGAAAGGAAAGAAGTTGTGAGGTGTTTCAGACTCTTTTTAACGTGACTGTCCATCTTCATAACATGTTCTCACTTCAATCTACATCCTTCTCCCCATTTAAATCTATTAAATCGACCCCATCTTCTACGGTGACACTGCGACCTGACAGATGTTTCCTGCAGCTGCACATCATCCTCCACCCTGCACCTCGTATGTCTGTCCCTGTCTCCATGTCTGTCTACCCTGGGAAGAAATGCTAGCCTGGCTATTAGCCTCACACACACACACACACACACACACACACACACACACACACACACACACACACACACACACACACACGACAAAACAACAACACACATGTATTTGTCCCAGCCTGCAAATTTCCTGGCAACACTCAAAGTGTTGCTGCATGCATAACAGTTCAATACCAGAACACTGCAAATGACGAATATGAAGTGAGTGAAAACCATCAGAATAACACTTCACTTAATTAGCCCAGAACAAATGCTGCTTTCTGGGCAAAGCATATGTTGCAGCATTTTAACAAAGAGCAGCCTGTTTCCTGCTCGTCGTCCTCACACACAACATCTTCCTCTCAGTGTGAACAGCGTCTCAGAGTCTCCGTGCCGCTCAGGGATGCCACATGTTCTCATGTGAGTGTTCAGGTGAAGCTTTCATGTTGTTTCTGGCTGTTATCAGAAGAGGGCGCACTGCCACTTCACTCCCATCCTCATCCTGTTTCAAGTTTTTTTTTTTTTACTAAATACCCACAGAGGATTAAAAACATTTTACTCTGAGATTAGACTTCCTTCACTTTTTTTTATCTGGTTCAGATTTGAAGAAAATGTGTATTTTTGTTTTTACAGCAGATTCACTCATATCAGGAACTCTACAAAATAAACTTGGCAGCATGTTATAATACAGGAAGTGATGCTTCTTCTGTCAACATGTAAATAAAAGGACAGAATATCATTATTTCCCTTGTTGCAGCTTTTTAAACTGAACTGTCTGAAGCAACAAAACTGACAGAAAAATATAATTTCCTTCCTGTTGTTGACCAAAATCAGAGTCTCACACATTTATACTCAACAACTGGAGGTTAATTAACTAAAGTTGAAAAATGAGACTGAGATAATGTTGCAGCAGTAAAGTTCCTGTTTCCCTCTGCTCTGTCTTCCATGGAATAACTCATCAAATCACATTGATCCCTCTGGTGCACACCCAGTTTTGCTCCGTCCCAATGAAAAAAAGGCTCCAGTAGTGTGCGTGTGTGTGTGTGTATGTGTGTGTGTGTGTGTGTGTGTGTGTGTGTGTGTGTGTGTGTGTGTGTGTGTGTGATGTGTGTTGTAGTTTGGGTGTTGGGGGTTGGGGGTGGTTGGTGGTGGGGTGTTAGGGTCTGTAGATGTCTATGGAGCCTGACAAGTGGAAAAGGGTGAAAGCAAAAGCCAGAACATCAAACAACTTTCCTTTTTATCCCTTAAAGACGAAACAAAACTGCCCTTTAAAAAAAGAAAATAACTGAAACATGAATAAAAAACTGTTGCAAATCATTATTTTTAACATTATCATTTAGTTGTTTTCTGCTGAGGTGAAACGTAAATGAAGCTGTGAAAAAGTTCAGTCCACGTGTCTGACACGTTTAAAATGTGACTGTGGCCTGAATGTATTTATTTTACAAATCTTCCAACGGAAACACAGTGAACTTCATATATAATGATATTTTAAGAAAAATTAAATCAAGTTTTCTTTACATTGAATATTAAGCACAATGCATCTGTTTATGGATGTTATAAATATAATAACACCAGGACCTAAAGCTGCTGTTATGTCACTGTGATAAAGTCATGAGGAACACATAATAGATTATATTTATATTGTATACATAAATATATATATATATACTGTATATATATTAGAATAATTCCTATGATGCAGTTGACACTGTTAAACAGAGTTTTCCTGGATGAAGCCTGTCAGTCTTTAGTCACTCATAATGTTTATTTTGCTTCTCTGTTTTAAATCTAAAATTATTATTTTTTCAAAACAGGTTAAAGCAGGAATTATACATTAGGCTGATTGGGCCTTATATGTATTTTATATATATAAAAACGCTTGTTTTCTGAACCCAGCTCTAAATAACAGCAGCTCTCCTGTCAGCAGGTAAACATCCTTCGTTGACACTCACCTGCGTTATAAGCCGCCAGCTCGGTCCCCGGCCCGGGGCTCTTCCTCTTCCTGGGCCGGCCTTTCTGCACTGTCCCCACGCCGTTGAAGTAGGATAGTCCAAGCGTGTTGGCCGGGCCCAGGCCTTTGTGCGGGACCACGTCCGCGTGGTTAAAGTGTGTCTGATATTCTCCCTGGATGAGAGTCTCAAAGTGCAGCCGACAGTACACCAGACTGTCCTTCATGCCAAAGTGGTCCCCAGTGGTCAGCATCTTGCTGCACGTGGTGCAGGTGAAGCAGTTGAGGTGGTAGACCAGGTCCCGGGCTCGCATCACCATCTCCGAGGCTGAGATCCCCAGGTGGCACCGAGCGCATCTCTGCACCGAAAATCTTCTGCGGACAACACAGAAACCTCATCAGCGGCTGGTCACAGAGCCTGGCGGGAACTGCGGCGTGTCAGCGCGGGGCAGGCTCCATGACCTGAGCAGCCCAACTAACACACAGTTTAACACCAAGTTTCCCTCACAGCAAACTTTAAACCTGAAGACTGAAGCCCCGTGAACGTCAGTTTCAGCTAAACCTGAGCTGGAAATGTGATTTTTTTCATTTTTCTAATTTAACAATAATTCTTTTTTCAGGGCTTCCCTGTCAGTGATGGGGGGTGGTGAGGAGAGGGTGTGTGTGTGTGTGTGTGTGTGTGTGGGTTGGGAGGTGGGGGTGGGGGGTGGGGGGTGTTGATGATCTGGATTTGAGAGAAACACGTGAACATTCAATATAGGTGGTGAATAAAGCCACAAAATATGGAGAATGTTCATCAGCTCAAGATCATATTGTTATACTATATATATGTATATATACACACACATATATATATATATATATATATATATATATACTTTTTCAGAGGACAGAAGCTCTGAAGTAGAAATCATGAATAAATTCAGCTGATTTTTGGAACCAAATGAAGGAAATTTGTTTTTTATATGATGATATGTTTTTTTATATATTCCCGTTTGCCACTTTGATGTCACCTTAACTGCAAGAGATTAAAACTCATTAAAAAACGAATTCACTAATTGACATGAATTTGAAACACATATATATCCCGAAAATTTTATAACATTTATTTCATCCCGGTTCGTCCCAGGACCGTGGAGGTCCAGGCCCGGGCTGTGCGCCCCCCTACCTGTAGTAGTCCTCCTTGCAGTAGATGCTGCCGTCCTTGCTGAAGCAGGTGAGCTCAGACTCCAGGTTCAGTTTGCACTCGCAGCACTTGAGGCAGCGCATGTGCCACTGCTTGTCCACGGCCAGCAGGTAGTAGCGGTCCGCGATCTTCCTGCCGCAGCCCGCGCACAAGGCCACGCGCTCGCTGGTCATACACGGCATAGACTGCGGAGAGAGGCAGGAGGACACGGCGTCAAATAAAACGAATTAAAGGGAAAGGATTTAGCAGAACATTGTGAAAGACTGACGTTAAATCAACACAAGAGGGAGAGACCGAGTCTGTTCGCTTTTTATTCACACACTGAGGAGCGCAGCTGCTATCAGACAGAGGAATATTTATTATTATTTAGAATATATCTAAATGGTGAATTATTTCCGTTGGAACAGGCTCAATAAATATATATAATGATATTAAAATACATATGTGGGTTAAAAATGAAATTCAATGAGAAAAGGTCAAACAAACTCTCCTGTACTCCTCTGTGAGAAATGTTACAGGAATATTTTAGGAAATGAGGTCTTTAGGTTAAAAACACAGCCAGACGCTCTACTGTGAATAACATGAATCACAATGAGAAATTATATTTGGCTCTTATGGCCATTATTATAATATTCATATTTCTGACAGTGTCTCCACACTAACAGAAAAACAGCAGCAATTTTACACATATTAACTATTAACATCTATTTAAACTGAGTGTAGAAATATTGTCATTTTTGGTGGAGGAGTTTGTGCGATTAATTTCTCATAATAATAATAACTATAATTGTTATAAATATTGGGCTTATAATACTAATAATAATAATAATAATGATAATAATAATAATATAGAGAGATACAATAATAAGAGGCTAAATAAAGGCTTATGACACAAGACTGTCATTCAGTGTTATTTTCGAGAGGCCTCCAAAATAGACACACGTGCACGCACACATGCACATATAATAATAATAATTACTATTATTATTATTATTATTATTATTATTATTATTATTATAACAATAATCATAATAATTTGCTAATAAAGATGGAAGCTGAATGAATATAAATAATTTTCTTCCTATAGTTTGACTGCATTGCATTTAAAATCACTGCTGTCATTTCTCATAAACGCATTTTTATTTTATTGAAGTGTAATTATAGAATGTAATTATTCTGTTGCAGGAATAATAGGGATAAATAATTGCAGTTTGTCTGTAAAAAATAATTTCATTTCTGTTTATGAATCACACAGACGCGCTGTGTTCACACTGTTTAACGTGTTTTGAACGCGTTGTTTAAAGCTTTAAGGAAAACGATGCATTTTAAGGACGAATGTGTTTTTTCTTGTTTCTTAATAAACTGCAGCAGCTCGTTCAGCTCAGCTCCGTTTGACCGGAGCTTTGCTGAAGTTCAGTGGCAGAGAAATGTCAGTGTTCAGGCCTTTTTGTAGGAAGTTTGTGCGTCTGGTGCGTTAAAAGACAACTCAGTAATAAGTTGAGATACTTATTGGAGACTTTTCTTTCTGTGTGAGAGTAATACGCGTTCAGAGCTCGGAGCGGTGTGAGTGTCACATGTTTCAGGCTGCCATGCTTCCTGCACAAACAAGCCGAGAGGGCCAACATGAGTCTCTCCTACCGTCTCTGATTCCCCCATATCGATGGCTGAGCTGATGGCCGCTGACTCGTTCTTTCCTCTCCGGTCCATTTCTTCCACCACGCCGTGCACCTCGCCTCCAGGGAGGCCATGGAAAAGCATCGTTGCCGCAGAGGGGAGGATATTGTAACTGTTCTCTTCGGATCTGAGAGCCAAGATGTCCATCAGAGAAGAAAGCCCTGCGCACTGACGCCGCTCGAAATTCTGCTTTTTTTCTGCTTTTCCTTTTTTGCCGTGGTAAGTGAAAAATCCAGATCAGGGAGGAAAAAATATGAGGGAAAAATTGGACACGTGTTCTCCACACTACGTCTCATCTGCCAATGGTAACCGCCATCCGAATCTCTGCTGCTCTCATTATTAATAAGCTATGATTAATTCATAAATAAGCGCTTCTCTTATGGAAGAGATTTTCTCTCAGGTGCGGTTTTATTTTTTTTTATTTTACTGCTTTTACCTGCTGCTCTGTCTATATTTTCTTTTCCATTTACGCAGAATAAACATACCAACTATGGAAGCTCCTGCTGCTGGGAGTCAGAGCCGGAGCCTCCTCCTCGCCGGGAGTGATATTGAAGGATTTCGACAGTAAACAAGGCACTGGCAGCGTCTACCCTTTTTTCTGCAGAACAGTAAAGTAACTCTTTCTAAGTGGCGTTGCCAGAGCTTGGCGGCGGCCTGCTACTGCATCACAGCCAGAGAAATAAAAAAATTATATTTCCAAAAAAGCTGACAGGAGCCTGAGAAAGGCTTCCTCCCTCCTCCGGGTCGAACAGTCCAAGTTGATGCTCACAGCAACTCAAACTACTTCAGCTTTGCACAGACAAAACAGAAGAATGAAAAAAGCGCAGGTTTTGCTTTATAAAATCCGGAAGAAGCAGTTTCCCTTCGCAGCAGTCTGTGACATGAATGTTTGGTCTGTAGTGGAGGAGGCCGCACACACGTCCGGACAGTGGAAGAGGAGGAGTTGGCTTCACTTTGACTGATGATAGGCGAGTGTTAGCTGGCCCCCCAAAACCGTTCCTCCTTCTCAAGTCCCGGTTGGACTCTCCGCTCCTTATCAACGGGGCCCTGTTGCGTCACGACGCACCATTTATGTTCATTGGCTGTTCCGCCGTCACCGAACTGTTTGGTTATACTTTTACCGACCGCTCTGAGAAATCAGCAGCTCCTTCTGCCTCCGTTACGCACGGACCACCGGGCCACCGTCCGTACCCCCTTCAGCCGCTCCGTCTGTCCGGAGCTGCGGTTTGAAAGGTCAGTTCGAAAGACAGAGAAGAAGACGGGCTAAGGGCCTCTCAGGTGCTGGAGCTGTGTGCGCGCGCCGAGCAGGTCCACTGGGACCTGGACTCCAGTGACGCACAGAGAGGGTTCCACACTGCTGCTGCTCCCAGCCTCTCCATGACACCACAGCGCTCTGCGCACAGATCCTGAGTGCTGCACAACAAGTCTGAAAAATAAAGTACCACACAGCTCTTCATTCTTTAATCCATATTTTTTAAAATTTGATTTAAAAAACTAATTTTAATGTGAAATAAACAAAAACACTTTTTCTGTTCACTTCTCAACAACTACACCCACAACGGTCACATCTGGTCTATGGTGTCCTTCACGTGGAGAACTCACGTAAAGTACTTTTTTTCATAAAAAATAAAATATAAGATGTCTTAAATGTCACAGGTCAGTGTCACATTTCTACAGAAATTTTAAAACCAAACCAAGGAAACAACGCGAGACTATCAGGCTCCAAAACTGCCACTAAATGAACTTTAGAGGAAAGTGTGTTTTATTTTTTAAAACTTTGTGTCAATTACGTAAAAAAAAAGTCATTTCGGCGCCGCTGACTGTTCTCCATCCTATTTTTTAAACAATGTTCTGGCTTCACGTCCTGATCTCCAGCTCCAGAGTTGTGTCTCCACCACAGTTTGGTTCAGCTGCAAAGTGAAGCTTGAACTGATCCCGGATCCGCTCATTTTATAATTAGCTCTCTGCTCTTAATTGGGAAGGGGGCTGGGGAGGTGGAATGGGAAGTGGACTTTGTCATCAGAGGACGTGTTTGAGGACCGGAGGAGAAGGTTTGATCTCTCTCACAAAAGACGGTGGTTACAGCGGAGTGAGAGAGAATGACACGTTATCACATCAGCTCTGTTTGAAGACTCAGTCCAGTTAGTGAAATGATTAGAGGAGGAATCCATCCCGCCATGCAGCCTCCTCACTTCCTGGATTATTTCGCATTATAACAACAATATTTTAGCTGCAGATTTACGCGCTAAAACATCAATTTACATGTTTCGGTTTCCTTGATATTTATAACACCCCCCCCACACACACACACACACACGCTCCCCACACGCAAAACAGTCCGCATTTAGGCTATTGTGAAATTTTATTGCACAAATATGATGTTAAGCTCCTAAATCCTTATGCAAATCACCCCTCTGTAATACCCTTAATTGAATACATGCATATTTATCATCTGCGCTCTCTAGCTGCTATAAGGCTGGGTTTATACATTAAACATAGCGACAGCGGGCATGTCTGCGGGCGTGTGTGAAATATGATATTAGGCGGTAATGTAAGATTAAGGAAAACACATCAGTTTGTATCTATTTGTATCAAATGCAGGTTCCTGTGTTTGGATTGAAGTCAGTGGTCAGAAGGAAGAATTTTGAGGAGATCCATGTAAACGTCTGGACTGGGCTATATAATGGAATATCCTCAGTAATGTGTGTCCACAACATTCACAGCAGAGCAGGAGAAAAGTCATAATATGATAATTAACAACAGTATCAAGCGTGTGAAGGCAGAACTGGATAAAACAGTCCAATATTTAATTCATCTATGGTACATTTATTTAAAAAGGTAAAACTGAATTAATTACAGCTCATCTTGTTCATCGCTCTCTCTCTCTCTCTCTCTCTCTCTCTCTCTCTCTCACACACACACACACACACACACACACACACACACACACACACACACACACACACACACATTCACACTAATTTTTCTTTCTGACACAGGGCCAGCAGCACTGGGAGATAAAGAGGAGGAACTGAAGAGCCAAAACTATCACCAACACTCACCAGTCTGTGTCATTAGAAAAAACACCTTCCATCAGTGTGGTGATGTTCAGCAGAATAACTCTAAATAAAAATGTTAAAGCTGAACCAGCTGATTTCACTAAACATTTTAAAACAAATGCTAATGATGAAACAAGGAGCAAGCACTTCCTGTACGGGCCTGCTCTGACTGTAATATATTTAAAATGAACAATTTTACTTTTGGTTTTTAATTTGGTGACAGTCTTTTATTTTGTAAACGTTGCAGGAGGTTTGAACAACATGATGATGATGAAGCTAGAAGTGGTGACATTTATATCACTTTACTGTTTTATGGTGATGTTTTATTTTTATACATGTTTTGCATAAATGTGAGTAAATATCTGAATTAGTTGTTTTTTTAAACATTGCTCTTTGTCAATTTCAAAAAAAGACTATATCATGACATCATCACCAGGGCTGTAACTTTGGAAGTACTGAGGTAATGAATCTAAGTCCCCCCTGATGCCCCCCACCCCAAAGACAAGATTGACCAGATACCAACAATAAAATAATTACATACATTCTCAGTAAGTTTTTTTTGCCTGAGATGAATGTGTCAAATCCAACTCCACTCCACCATAAGGAAATACCACAGTGTTCTGTTCATATATTTATTGATCTAAATATAATGAGTGAAACCATCATCACATATCCACCATGTGTAGAAAGTAAACTCTCATCATACTGCTGAAAGCTATAATTTCTAATGAAGACACATGATGTCAGTGTCCTGGACGATTGCGTGTACTAAATGTGGATTACTATATAAAATTACACACACTAGGATGGAGTGTTTTATACGTTTCAGCAGCTCCTGGTTCACATGATGTGGCCATTGTCAAGTATTAATTCCTGGTATCTAAATAAGCTGAATTTGAACAGTTTCAGCAACTTTTCTCGTCTGAAGGTGAAAAAAGTCCGAAAATAAGAGTTTGAAGACAATAAAATGCTAAAGACTAATGAGAGTGTTTTAGGTTAACGGTTCTGGTTTAATCATGTCGGCCTTTACTGACAGAACAATTGAATATATAATGGAGATTTATAATAAAAGCATCAGGCTGGTGTTAGTGTAAAGCTGTTGTTTAATTGGGTAAATGCAACAACAAGTTTAGAGAGCACTAATCCTAATAAGCTCCATGGAACTAATAAACTAACAGTGTGCAGCTAACTTCAACACCTTGTTGAAAGCACGTGTGTGTGTGTGTGTGTGTGTGTGTGTGTGTGTGTGTGTGTGTGTGTGTGTGTGTTGGGGGTGGTGTTGCTGCTTGTCGACGACTAAGATGCTGATGCAGCTCCACTGATTACTCCTTGTCCCATAATGATTTCCAAACGGGGCAGCCATCAATAACACAAATCTGCATTTCTCAGGAAAACATCACCTCGTCAGGCTCCTGGCATCTTTTTGATCTCCTTTTTTTTTAATTGTATTCAGCATAAAGGTAGGGAGGGGGGTGCGGGGTGCGTGGCTTTAATGGGATGCTGCTGTGGAAGTGGGGAGTGGGTTACACACTCTCTGAGGAGAGCTCGGCTGTAATTAAGAAAAAGGGGGAACAAAGCAGAGGAGAGTAAAAACACATGAAAAGGGAGGAAGCGGATCATCTAATCACTGAACGTGCACCGTCCACGCATCCACGTCGCCTGTGTACAGTCGCTTTTTAATGCGGGAGGAATCACACAGGAGCGTAAATACAGAGCAGCACACCTGAGCCTCCACTGTTTCTTATTGCGGCACAATGTGTGCACACCAGCTATAATGGAAGCATCACATCCACTCTCATCTAAACTAATACTACCTTCATCTTGACCTGTAATATATGTACATGTATTGAATTTCCATATATGACATATGTACATATGAAGTAAAATCATATATGTATATATATGTATATATGTATAAATTACATACTGAACCAATTTCATATATTGACATGTACTGTATGTGTAGCTAATACAAACATGTATGTTTATGCTTATATTGTAGACATATGTTACATAAATCCATCCTAAAGCCTGTCAGTATATGTTGATGGTATATATAAGTATAAGTATAAAAGATAGACATGTATGTTTAAAATTAATAAGAAATTAATAAGAAAATCATAAGTAAACATTGTATTTTCATGTTTTAAGTATGTT